CTTTCTATTGATAAACTCAGTGGCAAGGTGGGCTGGTGCCAGAATAGGGATATTAATGCCACATATTGTCCCACCATTAGGGAAGGCTGTTCTGGCAAATCCATCCACTTTTTCCTGTACACTATCTCTTGCTACACAAGACTGCAGCTCTTGGTAATTAATGCCCTGAAACACTTGGATGACAATGGCCCATACTATGGATTTTTCCAGCTCAGAACTGATCACCTACAGACTGATTGCAAGCTTGCAATGCTGGATTGCTGTGGGCAATCACCACTCACTTTTCTACTATTAGTGCAACTCTGATTCTGGTGTCCCTGTGCTGGACGTTGGGGTTGAGTTCTGCACATATCTCCAAGAATGTGGCCTGGTGCCTCTGGAAGGTCTGCAGCCACTACTTGTCATCCCAAACCTGCATTACAATGTGATCAGTGCTTGTTTCTTCAGTCCAGAAGTGGTGGTCCACTGTGTGGAGATGCTCCATGAATGCCAACAACCTGGCATTTTTCCCCCACTATTTCCATCAGCATCCAGTTATTAAAATTGCACATCTCTCCATCTTCCTCATCACAATCCCAGTTGCAGCAATACTCCTTCAAGGTCTGCAGATACAGAAGAATCATATGTCCTGTATTAACAACCCTCATGAGTTGTGTAAACCATCAGGCTTCTGTCTGCAAGATGGCAGAGACTGCAATACGCCACAAAGGACTGTGGTAGTTTGAAAAAATGGTGTGACAGTTACAGGATGTGGAAGGTATTACAGGATGGAGAAAGTGGCATGGTGGGAACTTGACCCTCACTCCCAGAAATTTGTGCAAAAATCACTGGTATCCCACAAAACACTGAGAACACGTCCCACAAGGCATTGAGCTGGATGGCAGCATGGGGAACGCTACTGTCTGTCTGTCCATGGTGCACCGCATTTTACATTGACCTGCTTTGGCAGCTGTATGCTGACTAAGTTGTGTTGACAAAACTTTCCAGTATAGACATGGCCTTAGCAGTACTCAAACTGAAGCCTGTGTACATCCCAATGCTAATCTTTCCTTTCCATACAGATAGTGGCCACAGGAATCTGTCGGACAGATGACCATGTATTGAAAGGTGCTTTCCCTAACATAGATTACCCAGTTATTGCTGGCCATGAAGGAGCTGGGATTATTGAGTGTGTTGGTCCAGAAGTAACATGTGTGAAACCAGGTGTGTGAGATGGTGAATGCTGAGTATTTAATAGCATCTTATATAGTCTATAGTTGACATACAGAAGAGGCCAATAGTTTATGGATTCACAATAAAGACAGCATGTTGCTGCATAATGATATGCTAAATGAAACATCAGAGTACAGTGCCTGGGTAGAGGTGGGAGGCAGGTAAGGAAGGGAGAGAGGAATCCTGATTATTTTGGTTTTTTTTTTTTTTTTTTCTGGAGATGTCCCTAGAGTAAATCAATCTTTATCTATAAAGAGCCACCCTAGCAATGGAGATCAGTCTGATAAGGTAAATGTATGACTCAATAAAATAAAGTTAATAATTGTATATTAATATACACTCTGAGGGCAAAAAATACTTTTCACTCTCTATTTGGTAGAGTGGTTTTACCTCTTTCTGTTTAAGAAAATGCTGCTTGGAAATCCTTGACTGAGGAGCTGAACTGGACAGCTCAGAAGAATAGTAGCATGGGGGTTGATAGTGAGTCTGTTTGTTTGATTTAGGAAACTTTTAACACAAGCTTTGTATTTTTGTGTTTTAGGGGACAAAGTTATCCCTCTTTGTGTTCCCCAGTGTGGAGAATGCAGCTGCTGTCTGAGTCCTAAGGCTAACTGTTGCCTGACGAGCCAGTGAGTTTGCTTTAACTTCTGTTATCAGATTCTGAATCTTAGTGGTATTGACCATATCAAACCGGAGTTTCTCACCATTCTTGGGCTCTCTGAACAGTCTCTGCGAATCACAGAACCTCATGCCAGATAAGACCAGCAGATTCTCCTGCAAAGGGAAGCAGATTCACCATTTCCTGTGGATCAGCACCTTCTCAGAATACACAGTTATGCCTGATTCTGCCATTGCAAGAATTGATGCTGCTGCTCCTCTGGATAAAGTCTGTCTATTTGGCTGTGCATTTTCCACTGGTTATGGAGCTGCCATCAATACTGCCAAGGGAAGTACTTGTGTGGTTTCAAGGACAAAATGGCATAATTGCCTTCATGAAGGAGTGGTCTCATCATTGCAGCACCTCCTCCTGGTCAGGTGTGGCAAATTGGCTCTCCCATTGCATTCTGGCACCACCTGCCGACAGCCATTCTGGTCCCTTTGGTGGTTCATCTCTTTCCATGACTCAGCCCTCCAGCCAGGTCACGTTTCAGTCCACATCCCTTTCAGGGTACTACAACCCAAACTCCATATAAAACAATACCCAAAGTTCAGTCTCTTCAGCCCCTCTTTGGGGGTTTCTAAGACCCTCACCCAGGATCTTTAGCATAGCTCACTCAAAGAGAACTTCTTGTCCTACTTAACTCCAACACTTGACCAAACCCTGTTTTGGGCCCACTGCAGTGAGAATCACCATTCCCTGTAGCCTTTGTCTTTTGACTTTCCTTACCCAGGGTTTTCCTGCCTCTAATGGCCTTCCCCAACACCCTCTGCTTCCTTTCCAGGTCCCTCACCTGTCCTTCCCCATACCTGCTTGCTGGGGCTCACCCTGATGTCTGCAAAATTCTTTCTTGTCCTTATGTCAGTGTGCAGTCTCCCAAGCTTCCTCCTAGTTCAGGCCCTCTCGTTCTGGCTCCAGGCTTTTCTCTCAGCCTTTTGCCCAGGAGAAGATGCTCCCTTTTGGCTCTCCTCCCTGGCCTTCCTTCACACTTCCCTGGGCATGACAGGGACACAGTTTGTATTTTAATTCTAACAGAATTCCCTGTGTTTATGGCTATGCAGGTGGAGCCTGGTTCTACCTGTGCTGTCTTTGGTTTGGGAGGAGTTGGCCTCTCCGTTGTCATGGGCTGTAAAGCTGCTGGAGCTTCCCGGATCATTGGGATTGATATCAACAAAGATAAATTTGGCAAGGCTAAAGAATTAGGAGTCACTGAATGCATCAACCCTCAGGACTTCACAAAGCCTATTCAGGAGGTGCTGGTTGAGATGACTGGCCATGGTGTGGACTATTCCTTTGAGGTCACTGGATGCACGGATACCCTGGTATGTGGTCTATTAGCACAAAATCTATTTCGGTTGACCCTGATCTAACACATCTGTTAATTTCCCATCCAGTGGCTGAATTCACTGTGCATGTCTGGCTGTGACATGTACCAAACATCACCAGAGAAATGTATGAACTGAACCATCAGTATCACTCAGGTCAAAACATTTCAATTAGTTTTTGACAGAAAATTGAGCAGACATTGTTTAAAAAAATTCTGTGGAAAACTTTGATTTCCCCCCCCCCCCTCAAAAAATCAAATGCCCCCAAAACTATCCTATTTCAGATGCAAACTGAAATATTTTAATTCAAAATGATGCCATGGTGCCTCCTTGGATTTGTAGTTGGGAGTCAGATACACCCATTCTCCTCTATAGGAAGGCACCATCTTCCATGGTGCACCACTTTCTCACCTCCTGGTTAGGGGAGGGGAACACTGAATGTGGCAAAAATGTGTCTCCTGCTCCAGGTTCTAGTAGATGTGAAAGCTTCCTTCAGCTGGGGCTCCCTGATGCATAACTTCAGTATTTTTATGGTTTATCCTCTTTTTTTTTTTTTTTTTTTTTTTTTTTGCAGTACAAAGCTTTACGTTCTCATGTGGATTGTTATAGTTAAATGTCAGAACAGTTGACTCTTAAGGCATTTACCTAGATTCCTCCTCAGTTCCTCTGAGTGGTGCTCAACATACATGTGAGCAAAGTCCTATAACACTTAGGCTCCTCTGCAAAGGCCCAAGCTTAGGTTTTCTAAAATAAGAGTTCAGAATTAACCTCCTAAATCCATTTTTTTTGAGTATATGTGCCTCTGGTGATCCACTATTGGATGTGTGCATGCCTGCACCATCTCAGATTTGAATTAGCAGTGTCTGCGGCGGGACTGCACCTGCACACATGAAGCCTCATGCACCAAAACAAGAGATGGAGCAACTGTGTCCACTGCTTCTAGTAGCTCTACTGATTTCTGACTTCCTTTTTGCTCTTTCATTTTATTTCCAGTTTTTATTTTTAATCTTCACACAGATTGTGTTTAGGGGGTTCTCCCCCCTGCCCCATCTTCCCCTTTTTCTTCAAAACAGATTCTTTGGCCTTTCCTGTGACCTTGCACTGGGCCATGCCAAAAGCTTCAGCTTTCAAATCCTGCCAGAGCTGCAACAAATATTTCTCCTAGAGCGATCAACACCACCAGGCCTATTCCAGATCTACAGAGCCTCCTAGAAGGAGATCCTGGCCTCCTAGGAAAGGGACCATTCCAATAACAACCTCCCTACTCAGGCCTGTCCCAAACAACCATTCTGATGGCCTGGTCAAGGTCTACAACAAATCCCCTTCTCTGAATGTACTGTGCAAACCCAACTTCCAACTTTTCTTTGGGAACCACCTGACACATTTCCTACCCTCTTGGGACCTTATCACCATGGACAGCAGAATTTTAGAGGTGGTGGTTACAGATTACTCTATCCTCTTCCACTCTATTCCCCACTCCTTCCCCTTCAGGGACCCTTTTCAGGAGTATCTCTTGTAACAGGAATTTCAGTCCCTCTCCAGTCCAGGAGCAATAGAGCCAGTTCCTCCAGAAGTTGTGGGAAGAGACTTTTTATTCCAAATATTTCCTGGTTCCCTAAAGAAACGGTGGCTGGAGACTGATTCTAGACCTCAGGAACCTGAACACCTATACCCTTTCACAGCATTTCAGGATGCAGACTCTTGCTACCATAATCCTATCTTTGAGCCAGGGGGATTGGTTTACTGTTTTCCAACTTCAAAACGTATTCTCACATCACTATCCAACCCTCCCAGAAACATTTTCTGCGCTTGGTCATTCGCTCAGAGCATTATCAACACCATGTCCTCTCCTTTGCATTTTCCATGGCCCCAGGGGCTTTCACATAGGTCCTCTCTGTATTTGGAGCTACATCGAGACTGCATTGTAGTCTCTCCCTATCTAGATGACTGGTTTTGTGAGGGATGCTCTGCTCCTGAGGAACCTCCTGAGCAACCACCAGAGCCCTCCCCTTGTTTCAGGCTCTCAGCCTCCTTATCAACCCAGGGAAGTCCTATTCCCTAAACCAGTGTCAGTGTGATTTCATTGGCACTACCCTGGACACTCAAACTGCCAGAGCCTGTATGCTGGGGGGACAGGTTCTCCACCATTTCCAGTTTAGTCACTAACCTACAGCTGAGGCCTTAGACAGCAGTAAAGCACTTCCTTCAGCTCTTATATGGGACTCAGCATTTATCACACCACATGAGACTACATCTTTGATGGCTTCAGGCTGGCTCAGAACTGTGTACAGACCAGATAAGCACAGACTTGCCAAATGAGTTTATATACCCCCAGAGCTTCTAGACTTCCTTGGATGGTAGAAAGACCCCATGATGGTATGTGTGGGAGTCCCATTCTCCTGCCCACCATCAACATGAATCATCACACTGGATGCTTCCCTGCTAGGCTGGGGAACCCACTTACAGAATTCCACAGTGCAGGGCAAATGGTCACCACAAGAAATGTTGCTTGATACCAATATTCTAGAACTAAGGGCAGTTGTGTACCAACAGTGACATTAAAAGCTGTCATGCCAGGGTAATGGTAGACAACAGGGCAGCGATGTAGTATATAAATCAGCAAGGGGAGCAAAGTCCCAGTCCTTATGCACAGAATCCCTAAAACTATGGAACTGGTGCATTACTCATTGCATAGAGATCCCAGTGGTCTACCTACCAGGCCTCCAGAACACAGCAGCAGTTGCCCTAGGCAGACACTTCCATGAGTGGGAGCTCAACCTGATATTGGGGGGGGGGAGTGGCAGGGGGGGAAATCTGCAAAGTTTGTGGCAGCCCCATAGCAAATTTCTTTGCGATTCTGGACAATACAAAATGGTAAATCTCCTCCTGGAGGGACTCGATGCAATTCCTTAGGGGATGCCTTTCTAGTCCCCAACCACCACCTCTATGCCTTCCCTCCAACTCCATTAATTCTCAAGATGCTGATCAAATAACCGCAGGAGAAGGTGAGGGTCATCCTGAGTGAGCCAAGGAGGCACCGACAAGTGTGGTATTGGGAGATACTTCACCTTTTTGTAGAAACCTTGATGACTCCTGCTCCTATCAGACCTCCAGACACAGAACTCAGGCACCATGAACCCCCACCCCCGGCAGATTCCTATCTCTGAACCTCAAGACTTGGCTCCTTGATGGCTTGACTTTAGAGTGGGACTGCTCAGCAGAGATTACTGTACTTCTCAGCACTGCTTGGGAGCCTCCTAGAGTGGAGCACCTATAGGGACATGTACTCAAAGAAGGAGAGGTTACTTACCTTTCAGTAGAGCTCTTAGATGTTTTGTCCCTATGGGTGCTCCACCTTATGCCCTCCCTCCCCTCTGCTGTGGAGTCTGTGGCTCTGGAGTGACAGCAGGTTCTGCTCCTCTCTCTGTGGCCTTGCTTTGGGGCACGAGGCTGCATGGTGCAGACCTGCCGTCACTGCTATCTCAAGTCTCCGATTGAGAGTGTGTAGGCACATGCACGTCCCACGGTGGAGCACACAAGGACAAAACATCCTGAAGAACTCAAGTTACTGAAAGGTAAATATCCTCTCCTTAGGTACCTCAGTTAGTAACTTTACTTTCAAGTGCTCAAGCACCCAGCAGCTCCCATTGACTTCAATGGGATTATTTGTGGAATCACCAATTGGCCCTACCCTAGTTACTCTGTGCATAGTCTCCCTTTTAGCAAACTTCACTATTATGGAAAAATTACAACCAGCTCTGAATGGAAGCTTATTTCATACCCTTCCTGCCCTCTTTATATGTCTGTTCTAAAACAGATGGCTGCTCTGCTATCATGCCACTTGGGCTATGGAACGTGTGTGCTGGTAGGAGAACCCCCTTCAGGATCACAGATCTCCTTTGACCCTCTGCTGCTGTTCACTGGGCGTCAGTGGAAGGCGAGTTTGATTGGAGGTAAGGAGTTAAGCGGAAGTGCAGTCCTAGTGCTCTGATATACTTATGAAATTCATAGTCTGAATATTCAGTTTCTTGATCTCATAGTTATGCAAGGAAAAGGTCCTGCAGCAGGACAACAGCCAGAGATGGAAATTCAACCTTCACAGAGGAGATGAAAACTACAAGTTGCATAGGCATTGCATAGTATGGAACAGGGTGGATAAAAAATTAAAAAAAAAAAATAGATTTTTTTTTACCTTAATGTATTTAATTTAAATAAAAATCCAATTTATTGTTAAAACCTAGTTGAAATTGTAACAAATGTAAAATTTACACTAAATAAAATAAGCAGTACGGGTTTGCTGCTGAAGTTTTAAAGAAAGCCAAACCACTGAATTGGTGGAGGTCACTGGCTAAGTACCTGGAACCAGAGTGTTGAACTGCTAACCCAGCTTTTGACAGCAGTAACCTCTTCTGCAGGTGCAGGGATTATATATACTCCATATCTGGTTAATTCAACTAGTTCATTCAAAGTTAAGAAATCAACTGGGAGTTGAAAACAGGAAAAACTTGATTTCCTCTTCATGAATAAAAACTAGCTATGATAGGATGAAATTTTACTAGTTCTAAAATCTTGAAGGACATGGTGACTAAAAAGAATCGCTTCAATTCACTAACTGCAGACAAGTCTTAGTTTAATAAATCAGGTTTAAATGCAAAATGTGTTTGGATAACTTTTTTCTCATGTACCCAGCACATTTAAGTAATAAATTAAATGCCATTTTTGCACATTTCTATTTGAATTAGTTTCCATCCAAATAGAGCTTAACACAATCCAGTAAACAAGAAATGTGATTAATTTTTTTACATTGTTCACCATCTAACATAAAAATTTTAAATTGAAGAATCTAAATGATGTTAAGCTAAATAGGTATAGCTGTTGACACTAAATTTGGTATTTCTTCTGCTAAAGGCTAGATTTAGTTGCAATTGAGTCAATTTTTGTGATTTCCCTCCCCCTCTCCCTCAAACATGATTAAAATTCAATATTTAAATTAAGGTTTCCTGCTTGCTGATTTAAAGCATGATTGATTTTTAAATCAATCCACCCTGGTATGGAAGCACTGGTGCCGCTCATCTCATTAGCAAGAATTCTGGAAACAAAACAAAAGGTCAAACTGAGTCCTCACAATCGGTCTGGTGACTTGTGGTGCTGATTTGAGCCCTGAATGCCAATGTATTCTTGTGAAGCAGATTTAATTGTTACTGTAAACACATCTGCAGCTAAAGCCATCTTCATCTTATGAACATGATTTTTCTTACCCATTCTGAGAAGGTAGATCATGCATGTCACATTCTACTGATAAGCTACTGGGTTGTGTGTGTTTGGTTTGTTTTTGGTTTTTATTTTTATATATTTTTTTGTTTTCTTTCTTTTTAAAGGGTGGAAGTTGAAGGACTCTCTCCCTAAACTGGTGTCTGATTACATGAACAAGAAGTGTAACCCAGATGCATTAATAACCCACACTTTGCCTTTTGATAAAATCAATGAAGGGTTCGAACTGCTGTGGGCAGGGAAAAGGTGAGATTTTATTATTTGTCTAAATGATCATTTCCTGAGCCAGTCTGATGTAGGAATTTCCAGAGAGTCTGCCATTTCTTTACCAGTTTTTGTAGAACATAAAGGCCATACTGGCTCAGACGAAAGGTCCATCTAGCCCAGTATCTAGTCTTCTGACAGTGGCCATTGCCAGGTGCCCCAGAGGGAATGAACAGAACAGGTAATCAAGTGATCCATCCCATCTCCCATTCCCAGCTTCTGGCCTGTCATAGATAAGAGATGGATTCAAAATGGAAACTGATCCAGACCCCTTTTTTCCCCACAAACTTTTCAAAATGTTTGTGATCTGTAGCTTGTCTAAGGATTTTAAACAAGAATCCTGAAACTTGAAGAAACCCAAGATCAAGATCTGAACCTCAGTCATGAGGTTCAATCTGTCATATAAAAGGTGTAAATAGAAAGACAGTGGCCTGGCACTGAGAATTCTGAGTGCTTGGAAACTGAATCAGGAGCCTAAATACTTAATTTAGGTCAAGGTTCTCAAACTGGGGGTCAGGACCCCTCAGGGGGTTGTGAGGTTATGTGGGGGGTCACAAGCTGTCAGCTTCCACTCCAAACGCCACTTTGCCTCAAGCATTTATAGCGGTGTTAAATACATAGTGTTTTTAATTCATAACGGGGGGTCACACTCAGAGGCTTGCTATGTGAAAGGGGTCACCAGTACAAAAGTTTGAGAGCCACTGATTTAGGTGCCTACTTTAGGCACTTAAATCTTTGTGTGTACTTTATTGCCAAAATTTCAGACTTAGGAGACATTATCCTTATTCTCTGGACAAGGCCATACTGTCTCTGCGGTCAGTTTACGTGTTGCATAGCCAATAGAATGGAATTGTGAAAATAATTGAAGGAGAATGGACTTGTAATAAATATCCAATGTCTACATATGGACCATTGTTCTTTCTGGATATAGAGCATTATTTATGTGTACCAAAGTCCATCTTGATGTGCATGGAGCACTGCTTGGCAAACATGTTAATTCTTCCTTTTTTTGTTTTTGTTTCAGTATTCGCAGCATTCTGTTGTTTTAAGCTGCGGAGCGATGAGAAGTGGGGTGTGAGCAGCACAGCGCTGCCTCCAGAATCACCTGTCTGACTCCTTCCCCTTACTCAAAACTTTTATTAGTGTGTTGGTTTTACAATCTTTGCTTCTAGAGCTGTATAAATTGGGTCTGTAGGAGGTGGAGGGTTAATTGCGTCTGTAGGAGGGAAGGTATCCTAGAGAGAGAGGTCCGCTTCCATATTATTCAGAATTAAACTAAATTAACCATTCCATCAATTACACTAGCTCTCTCAGCTAATCTAATCTAGCCCCTGCCTCAAGACAGGGCCTGTAACCTACCCTGTCAACCTTTCTTCTTTCTGTTTAGAAGGTGTTGTCTGCCAGCAGACTTAGCAACTCCAGGGATCCTTTCCCTGACTCAGCCTCCTAAGAAGTGAGCTATCATGGGGTTGAAAGCAGCTCGGGTCTGGCCCGCAGATGCTGGCTGAGGGCCTGGGGAATTAGCTCCAGGACTGAGCACTCGCTTTCATGTGAGTGGCCGCATGAGCGAGGCCTACATTCTCCAGCCTGCTCTGTAGCAGCAGGGGCAACTAGCCCTATTTTGTTGCTCTGTTCTGCTTTGCTCAAGACCCCAGAGCCCTCTCTGTGCCATCCTGGCACAGGGCAGGTCACGCAAAAGCGGGGGCGGGGGGAGAGAATTAGCTCAGGCAGTAAAGAGCTTGCTTTACATGTGAGAAGTAGGTGGATTGATGCCTGTGCTCTCCACGTGGTGGGATGAGGACTTCCTCTACTCCCTGCAAAGCAGCTAGCCTACTTGCTTCCCTCTTTTTTACCCCCTCTCCCCAGAGCAGTCAGCAAAAACCAAAAAGCCACCCTTCCGAGGCCTGCAGTCACCAAGTGACCACCATGGGGAGTCAAACCTACAACATTGGCATTATTGGTACCAAACTCTAGCCAGCACACAGAAAGCATGCTTCCCCTGGATGTTTTGGAAAGAAGCAACAGCCTGCTAAGAGAACTTTGTGGCCAATCTCATGATATGGGTGGGGTGGGGATAGTCTCCAGTCAGGGGTCTGAAGTCACTCAGGATAAATGTAGAGGCAGTGTGGTAACACAGGGTCCCTGAGAGCAGGACTTGTGGTCATGCAGAGGTCAAACAGGAACAGTGTGGAGGCAGAGAGGTCACAAGTTGACAGAGAAAAGGGCTGCTGGCAGTGGGAGATCATGCACAGGTCCCTGAGGACCAGAGCAGAGGCAGTAGAGTCACAGAAAGCAGCACTGGTCCTACTGGGGGTCATGTAGAAGTCAATTAGAATCAGTTTGGAACCAGAGGGATCAAACAAAGACACAGAGCTGAGGACTGGGTAGTGGGGGCTAATACACAGGTCAATGAAAATCAACTTGGAGGTAGTGGGGTCACCCAAGGACACAGAGAACAGGGATGGTTGTACTTGAGGTCATGCAAATATTAATGAGGATCAATTTGGAGGAAGATGGGTCACAAGGTCAGAGGACTGGTGGTACTGATGGATCATGCACAGGTCAATTAGCATCAGTTTGGAGGTTGGGGGTTACATGGAGTCACAGAGACTAGCCTTGGCGGTACTGAAGGTTCATGCACAGGTCAATTAGGATCAATATAGAGGCACAGAGGAAACAGGGTCACAGAGAGAAGGGGTGGTGGTAGTGAGGGGATGTGCACAGGTGAATTAGGATCACTTTGGAGGCAGAGGCATCACACAAGGTCACAGAAAGCAGGACTGCAGGTAGTAGCAATTCCTGGATCAGACACTGAGGATAGATTTGGAGGTCGTGGGGTCACACATGGTCCCAGAGAACAGGGATGCTAGCAGTAGATGGTCATGAAGAGGTCAATGAGGACCAATTTGTAGGCAGAGGGGTCACAGAGACCAGGGCCTGTGATACTGGTGGGGTCCCTTTCATCAACAGAAGTCAGTCCAATAAAATATTTCTCTTTCCCCCACCCACCTTTGTCTCTCTCACCACTGTTGTCATCTTTTGTCCAAGTTCAGGCATGCTCTGAGCATTGCTATCAGATTGGGCCCCAACGGGTAGATAAATAGGGGAATGACTAGTTTGCAAACCCCACTAGGGCTTAGGCATGAATTAGGCACTGAGCTGCCAGGCAATGTCAGAATTTAGGCAGCTGTGTGTGCCTAGCTGCCAAAATTTAGGTGCCTCAGATTTTAACAGTGGAAACTTAGATGTCTACAAGGTTAGATAGCAGCTGAACAAGGGTTTTGTGACAGCCAGTGGCATCTAAATATTGGATTTAGGAACCTAACTGCCACTTTGGGTGCCTATATCCCCCTTTTCAATCCCACCCTGAGTGGGCAAGGAGGGACATGGGGTAGTGCAGGAGACAGGATAGTGATAAGGGGGAGGAGAATGGAAAGGGATTGAATTCCAACACCTGGGCATTAGGAAATGGATAATTGACACCTTTTTGTGTACCTAGCAACTATAAGGTTGAATTTTTGATCCCAAACTGTTCACTTACAAATGAGGGGCACATAACTTTACTCCGAAGTCTCAGAAATCATAAGGCAAGTGAGAAACTGTGTGATTTATTTCTGTGGTATCATGATTTTTAAGCCAATCACATTTTTAGTCTCATGATTTTTGGCAGATTGGGGTTGGCAATATTGGGCAGCTGATGAGTCATAAATTAACTATCTTGACCCTAATAAATCAGTTTGGATGTTGATGAGATTTCAGTCTCTCTCCTGAAGGTCATGGGGAGGGTGCCTTGATTTGTCTTCATTGCATTCTGTGATGGAAATCTTTTATTTACTTATTTTGTTCAAGGGCCGTTCTCTTCCAATACTTAAATTGCTGAAACTCATCACTACAAGCCTGTAACAGCCAGCAATGTTGCAGGGGGAAAAACTTCTAATAAAAACCTCTGTTAGATGGGAGCAGAAGCAGCTAAAGCAGGGACCGTTGGAAAACTTTCTACAGTTTTGACTGGACTTTCTCTGCCCTGTGCTGACTGGCTGTTTGCTTCAATCCTCCCTCAGAGGCTGTTCACCTCAGCGTCACTCCTCTTACCGCTCTCCCTTCACTGTAGAATATACCCCACTAACTAAACCCACCCCACACACCAAAAAATTGTGGAACCATCACATTGTTCGCTCTGCTTGTGTGTTGTATCCCTTCCTCCACCACAGACTGTGAGCTCTTCGGGACAGAGACCGTTTTTGTTCTGTTTATACAGCACCCAGCACAATAGGGTCCTGGCCCCTGATGAGGGGTCCTATGTACCACAGTTACACTATTATTATTGTTTGTATTTCTCTCTGTGGAAGCTTTCTTTAGGTGGAGAAATAGTTGCCAGTTGGGTCCAAATAATGAGTAAGAAATTAGGAGAAATGGGAGGCTTTTGTGTGGGGTGGTGCTTTTGGCAGAGTTGGGTTCTTTACTTTTGCAAAATCCTGTTTCAAACAGGGTGTTCATGTGAAGAGTTTTTAGAGAGTACGATCTCAGAGGCAGCATTGTTATCTATTGGCTTACCTTGTAACTGCTACCAGATATTATGCTTCTTCCTAAACTCCTTGGGACTAGTCAGGGTGGTAAGCATTATGCACTGTAGTGTTTGTAAAATCAGTCCCTATGTGTCTTAAACTTTGTGTACAAAATAATTATTTTCAGGTGAGAGAACAGCTCACAACACATTCACAATACCTAGTATGAAAATGCAGCAGCTAGCTGGCTATTAGTTTACTATAATTACAGCCCCAACCAATGAAACTGTTTTTCTTGCTCCAAGTAAAATGAAGGGGGGGGGGGGAAGGTTACCAGAGAGATAAATATGCTCTTGATTACCCAGCCTCTTTATCATGTTGCACTACTAATAAAATATCTGAAGTACTTTAAGCAAATAAAATACAAATGATTGTAACATTTGGTGTGTACTAACTGCTATTTATGTAATTGGAAGGCTAGGCATGTGGCATAGAGTTGGTCAACTTGCACATGGTTAAGGACAGCATGCTATGCCACCTTTGTCTGTCTTGTTCCCCTGGGCTGTGTCAAGCCCCAGCCCAACTTACAGCATGCTCAGGATGGGGGCTGTTACATCAGCCAGTGATCCTAGACACACTTTGGCCACTCCCCGTAAACACCACCCATGATCAGTTTACCATACTCTCTCACCTCTGCAATCTTTGGGTGATGTAGTGGAGGGCCATTATCAACCAGTCTAAGTTATAGCAGTCCTGAGGCTGCTATAAGGTGTGCTAGCAGCTGAATCAGCCCCCAGCAGCCCTAGGGATGGGGAAAGCACTGAAGTGATAGTTTTCCTGTCCAGTAGGTATTGATGTGCTGATATGCTCATAATCCATGGGAGTACAGCTTCCTGCACAAAGTTTTAAACAAGAACTATAAACAGCTATTACAAAAATCATCAGAATTAAGATTGCATTGTGAGAACAATGGGATGTACGCATTCCATGGAAGGATGATTTGCAATCCATTAGAATATCATCCTGCTGGTCAAGAATATTTGTAAAGCTGACTTCAAGTGAGGTCTGATACGATACAATGTAAGGATGTTCTCTGTGCCACGAGGTTCAAAAGCCTGAGCACAGGATCCAGAATAAGGCCCATGGGTGCCTTCCAACGGTGTGATATACATAACCTTGATGAGAAAATATATTTACGGAGCCCTGATCAGAGCATTGCTGTATCTTTTTCCAAATAGACAACTGTTACTGTCTATCAGCGCCACTTCAACACTTTCCAAAAATAAATCCAAAGAGTGAACATGCAATGTTACTGCCACAGATGTAGCCATTGCAAAACTATTCATGGTAAAGAGGAGTGGGTAAAGTGTGAAGGAAATGGGACTATCTGAGTGAAGCCTGGTCTATAAACTTCAATGTTGCTGCTCTGAAAACTCTTAATGTTTCTCTACCTTAAGTACAGTTTATATTAATAGAATATAAGATAGCTTTGATAATCAGAGGTAAAGTAAAATGATTGTTAATGCCCTAATCCTTTGCCAGTAAAAAGCCCAGAATATTTTAAGAAATGCTGAGAGAATGAAATATGGAGAAGTGAAAATGTGAGAAGAAAAAGATTTCAATAGTTCATATTAGGTCATTGATCACATCCAGAACATATAGGGGACTTGAGGAACTTAGCTCATTTGCACCCTTTAACCAGTACCCCAAAGGAGGTGGGGCTGAAACCACATCTGTGGAGTCATCTGTTAAATGCTATGTTTTCTGTATTTTTACAGCAGATCTGGTGACATATATTATTACAGAATGATCAGTAAGAGAGGGGACTTTCCAAAATGGCCAAAGGTCACACTCACCCACCTCAAGCCAGATTGGAGTGGGGTATGAGACTTGTGATCCCCTTATTTGATCAGAATATCTCCAGGGAGGTATCACGGGGAACAAGCTAGAATCACAATATGGACTTGCATGGCCCAGCGGAAGAGGGGGAATAGTACCTATAAAAATGTGCTTGTGGGGGGAAAGGAGCTAATTAATTTGGGGGGAGGTGTCAGTGCTTGGGAGGGGTGTGGGCTTGACTGCCATGCAATGTACTTATGAATGACAGGATGAACAATGAATTGGGTGGTGAGAATTACAGTATGGGTTCATATAAGGAAGTT